GCGCTCGGGCAGAGGCCTCCAGGGCGGCAAGGCGTCAGCTTGACCAGTAGCAGAAGCCTCGTTGCACTTGGCCACAGGAGTGAGTGTCTCCACCCGGACAAGCTCGAGAATAACACAGCTCTAATGCAACTTTTTATTCAGTTGTTTCATGTTCTATCCTTAATATAAATAATTATGGCTAACTAACTTGGGAATGGGCAAATGGATTAAGGGGCTATTCATATCCGCTGATCTTTGCAAGCATATACAAAGCTTTACAGCTTCTGGGGAAGGATGATGTTCAGCTGCTGGTGAGTATAATCGAAAAACACATCCACTACTAAAATGCAATTTTAAAGCATTGTATTTAAATTCAGTGTATTTTTATCCTCATCCAGAGCCTTGAATCTGGCAGTTAGAGATGTATGAGCAGAGAGACTTCACTGAAGCGTTTCACATGGGTGCAGAACTCATTCATAGTCACAGTACCAATGCCTGTGAGTGCAAAGGCCTCCATCAATATTCAGTTTCATATTGATGTTGTTTGCCACTATATAACTACTCAGTGGTTCAGTTTTCCAGAGTGTTTAACAGTATATATTTGTACTAAACTCAGTAACAGCAGCCCCTTTTGACTTCTATTGGCAAAGAATTCTGCTTTAAATTTCTCAACACTTTCAGTTGAACTTTAGGCTTTGGCAGAAATACTAGTCTTACTCTTTTAAAAAAAAAGCATGAGAAGTTATAGAAAATATTCACTATTTTCATGTCTGAACAGTTATTCATTAGTGCAGTAGTCCTCTCTTCGAACTTGGAATTGAACAGGTTTGTTGCAAGTAAAATTTTCTCTCTGCTTACACAGATATGGGTCCCTAGACTTGCACAGGCAGTGCTGGCAGCATTTGCTGATGTCAAGCTTTACTTCTTAGTGCAACACCTTGAAAATACAGAAACGGCAAAGTGCGTGGTGAGTGTCAGCCTTTAGAAAATGTTATGCATCTTAATAAACACTGCAGCGTTTATTAAGTGTTAAGCAACAGCAGAATGATAGTCACACCTTGAAGAATTAGCACCTTCATTTAAAACTACAAAAATTGTTTTAATGTTTCTCCCTGTTTGTCCGTAATTATTTTCAGTACTTTTGCCAGCTGTGTTCCTGGTTTACATGGTATTGCTGTACCAGAACTCTAACAAACACCATGGAAACTCTTCTTACCATTTTTGCTCTTTCCTACTATCCGATAAAAGGTTCCAAGATGGGGAGCAGGTGAGAAGCTTTATACTAATACTAGTAATTTTTGGTTTGACACAATAGCAAACTACTGTTTAAAATGCTGACTTTTATCTTAAAATATAAGGCAACCAAAACCACCTCATTCATGTAGCCAGACCTCTAGATCATGTCAGGAACATCAATTCTGGTATTTCCTCTAAAAATTTCTTTGAAGATGCAATACAGCTGGTATGTAAAATGACTATTCTCCAGTTCCCTTACACAAAGTATCACTTTATGGGAAATTTTAAAGGACTGGAATTTATGGTAACTTGGGAAAACATAACAAAAGCTTGTTTGCGATCAGATATAAGTGAACTTGTGGTCATGAGTTTCTATACCAGCTCTCTGTTTCAAAGCAAGTATATGCATCTAGCTAGCAACTGCATTGCTATATAGTTGGCGGCCTTCCAAGTAAAAGAGGGTATCTGCACTGAGAAAATCAGTTCTCTTTGATAACAGTATGAAAAACTTCTGGTTGGAGACATGACAAACATGTCAGTGACTTGTTGAGATGTCACTGCCTGCAAAAGAATCGACCAGAGTTTGATAAATTTGTCTTTTTCTTATATTCCCAAATTCTAGTTGCAAATATTTGGCTTTAGTAGCACTTGCAATTGTTATTCGTCCCACTGCTCTCATCCCATGGATACCTTTGGTCTTCAGTCATTTTTTGCAAGAACAGAGGAAATCAGACCTTGTCCTGTACAACTACATTCCTGTTGGGTAAGTTCTTTCTGAGTTTAAACTATGACTGTGGACAGCTTTATCTTAAGATTGATTTTTACCACTGCGAAGGCAGACAGCCCAAAAACAGCTGATTTCTTGTTAAAAAAAAAAAAAAAAAAATTAGTCCTTTTTCAAAGGTTAGAGAAGGGCCACATTTCTTTTAAATCTGTGTATATGACACTGTATCGGGTCTGGCTGAGCTGATTTTCCCATAGCAGCCCTCCTGATGCAGTGCTTTTGTGCTGGGAGTTAGACGGGTGTGGATAACACCCATGTTGTGACTACCACTGAGCAGTGCTCACACAAAACCGAGGCTCTTTCTTTGGAGGAGGAAAAGGGGAAAGTAGTAGAGCAGTTTGGTGGGCATCTCTTGCTCAGCCAGGGTTAACACTCCACAGATGCAAAAGAGCACTAGGGGAGATTTCGCAAGGGTGAGTCATCAACAGCATTCCAGCTTAATAAGGGATTGTGCCCTTGATACTGGGTGGTGACAGCTGGCCACTGTAAAATGGCTAGGAGTATGGATAATACCAAACGAGTAGGAATTGGGGAGTTTAGATGGCTATTTGGAGAAGAGCTGTATCTTTCTGTACCTGATAAAAAAGCAATTTAGACAGTATCAGTGCAACCAACTTTCCATTTTTGCAGATTGGTCACAGTAGGAACCTCTTTAATAATTGACCGTGTGTTTTTTGGTGAGGTAAGTTGTTTCAAACTCGACTTATAAGCAAAAGGTTGGTTTAGCATTTTAACATGGAAAGATGTTTCAGATTTCTCTACCTTTTGTTGTTTCTGTGGCTATATCTGGCATATGATCTCTAAATATATCCTAAGCCATAAACTCAGTTTTTAAATGATGGACTGTTACTTAAAATCAGTATGCTGAGCTCTCAATAATATCAACAGTAATCAAGAAACTACAAAATTTAAACACTTCTGTGTTTTAATTGCTAAATATAGGTAGTCTGTGATGAGGCTTACTAGAAAAAATCTGAATGCAAACGCTGTATCATTTAAGGCCAGTGATGACTGTATAATTTGGGTGTTGGTTTCCACTTTGCATTTATGTTTAAACATTGCTTCCCCCCTTAAATCTCCCAGTGGGTACTGGTTCAGCTGAACTTCTTGAAATTCAATGTGCTGCAGAATTTGGGAACGTTTTACGGATCTCATCCTTGGCACTGGTACTTCACTCAGGGACTACCAGTGATCTTGGGTACCCATCTGCCTTTCTTTGTTCATGGATGTGTGCTAGCACCTAAAAAGTATCACATCTTTCTGATGGCAGTGATTTGGACAGTGTTGGCATACAGGTAATTTCTCCTTATTGTGACTTTCGTCTTTCAGTGGTTGTATTCTTTTCAAAGCTCATGTCATCTCTAGACTCAAAAAAAGCACAGTATTCAGGTTTTAAGTGATAGAAAACTTGTTAAACTATGCAAACACTCCAGGAAATGCAGTCAGTACAATAGGTTCTAGAAGTTTATGAACTACTACTTTGTGTATTGTTACCAAACATGTATTTTTAGAATTGATTAGATCCTTAAAGAATAAAGCAACTCAGCAGGAAATTCAACAGAAAATTTTAAAAGACTATGCTCAATCATCTAACAGGTGCTTAAAGCAACAACAAAACTAGTTAGAAAACCATTTACTAAATGCCCTTTAAGAAAAATAGCATTTCATTTGGTTCTTTAATACATCTCCATTAATATGGGAGGTTCTTAGTCCCCTAATAACTTACCATTCACGAGTCTACACACAGCTCTGAACATTTATCATATGTCTCATTTTAAGTTGTGAAACAGAAGAAAAGGTCAGCTGTTTCTAAAGCATCAGAATTAACTGTGGATTAAATAAGACACTTTCAGACAAGAAAACATAGAGCAAATTATAAATACTAAGTAATGAATGGTATTAAGACCAGAGTAGCAAGAGAATGCAGCAGACGAGTAGCAAGGCCACAGATGCCATCTCTGCTTTCAGTGAAACTCAAAACTGGACATAGCTCTATTAGTTGTAAGCCTTTATCTTAGTCTGCAAGAACCTGTTTGGTCCCCGTGGCACAACAGTAATCCCCACCAACGCCCCAAAAGTTAGCATAGGAAATTACGTAAAGTTGTATTGGCAGAGGTGAATGTTACTTTGTTAAATACAGATGTGTACTTGAATCTCAGCTTCTCAGCCACGCTTCTTACTTTGTTTTATTACAGCAAACAAATTGGTGAAGTACTAGCTAAGTTATTTCCAGTAGTCATAGAAGTCAGACCAGGTACTGTTATTGGTGCTTAGATAAAACTGACCAAATAGTCTTAATTTGAATGTACTCATGTTCTTAAAAAGTGACAAATTGGATTTTTACTCTAAACTGCTTCAATGCCAAAATTTTTAGTACATGCAGCTGCTTTTTCTTCCAGTCTTCCATGCTCTGTATCATATTTTCTCAAGAGAACCAATGCATTTAAACTTCTATTGCTGTAGCATTATATCTGTTTTATTACAGCATGCTGAGCCATAAAGAATTCAGGTTCATCTATCCAGTATTGCCATTTTGCATGGTTTTTTGTGGTAAGCATTGATTTCAGATGTCTTGCAATCTTCCCTATATATAATTTTTACTTAAAGAGAGACTGTTAATAGTCATTGTAGGTATTTAACAAGGGGTCCTAAGGAACTAGCCTAACCTTTTCTTACAGCTAGGAAAAAAGAAAGAAGAAAAGTAAAAAATGGAACAGCAAGTGACTGAAACACAAGTGGAGAATCTTTAGCATGGGTTGTACTTCCTGAAAAAAAAAAAAAAGAAATGAAAATTGCCTCTAACTTTTTTTTTTTTACAGTGTATTTTGTTTCTTGGTTCCTTTATAGTATTTTCCTATGCCATTCTCTCAAATATACCTGACAAATGCCTTTGTATGCAACAAAAAAAAACTTGAAGTATTCAAAAACTAAAATTATACTTTTCTAGATTCAGGTGTGTTAGTAGAAGACACTAGTTTTGTGTCTGCTCTTGACCAACCACCAACTGGAGGCTACTTTCCACAGTTTTAGAGCAGTTAATGTGATAGCTTTTTCCCTCCAAAAGTGGTACGGTGAATTTGTTAAAACAGGAATAAGTTCCCTAAACCAGTGTGATTTTGCTAACAAAGATTTTTGTGATACTTTTAACAGAAACTTTTAAAACATTCATTTATCTCTTTTTCCTGTTTTGTGTTTTGTTGGTATTGGGTTGGTTTTTTTGTTTGGTTTTTGTTTTAAAAAACAAACCAAACAAAAAGAAAAGAGCATAATAAGGAAGTATTTTGTATTACACAAAATTAGGTGTTAACTGCAGTAGAATATCTATAGGAAAAGTAAAATCCTATTGTAAAGTCTAGTATGGTGAAAAGGATATGAAAGGAAAGATTAAAAATACAAGAACATGAAGCTATACAGCTTCAGTTTAATTAAGTTCAAAATAGATGAATCAATGAAAATTGTAATTTTCTTTAACCTGCTTTGCTAGTCTAACACAAGTAAATCTTATTTCAATGATTTTGCTCTGGGCTGAGATTAAATATGTAATGTGTCTTGGCTTAGTTCAATAGCAGATTTAAGGTGAACCGGTTCCACCTCACACACAGAAAAAACTCCAATCAGAGCACTCTTTTTTTGCTAATATCTTTCTTATCTTTCATCCCTGTAAGAGAATGAGGTCATCTACACAATTTAGCAAGAGCTAGTTATTATCTGTTTGGATACTTTAGTAAAGAGAAACAACAAAAGTTACATAATTACAGTGGTTGCAAAGAGGTCTTTAGACTGCTCAAAATAGTAAACAGAAGGAGAAAAAAAACCACATGAATTTCAAAGTAATTTCCAAGCACACAAAGATAAGCTAAGAGCATTTCACAACAACAATTAAAAAAATGCCTATAAAAGAATGTTTCCACCTGTGTTTAAACCATGGCTAATTAGTGAACTTTGTTTTCATCTGAGATAGAGATCTGCAATTTGTCAGAACAGACCAACTAAGGACTAATTAAACTTACTTGTTACTGACTTCTGAAACAGGCCTCTTCTAACTTGTTTCTTGTGATTCAGTAAAGGTGGTCACAGAGCTAAGCTGCATAAAATATTTTTATCTCCTAATACTGACAAGCACATGACTTAACAGGGGTTTCCAGACTGGCTGCAACATAAAGCTGTCTTCTGTGCCAGGTTCATCTCAGTTGTGGTTGTGAGAAACAAGTTTGCATGGCTGTCTCCCACCCAGAGAAGTGTCCTTCAGGAAGAGTGCAGGAGAAAGGGCAGGGATTGATTAGAGATGGGAAAAGACTGAGGAGAAAGCTTCTCCAAGGATAGCAGGTCAAAAATTAATATCCATAAAGGAATGCTGACACTTTTAGCACGCTGGAGATAAAGAATACCACAGCCATACCAAAGCACATGTAGTCACCGTTTATTCTCGCTCTACTTGACACGTGTGAATGAGAACACACCAGTGAGTCCCCACATATCATTCATCCAAACTCCTGAATGGACTGTTTTTCCCCACAACAAATTAAAATTAATCTCTAAAAGACAGAAAGGACTGGCTTTGAAACCATACTTCTGAAGACAGATAAGGGATTATGATTACACTGTTAAAACCAAGAGTTAATAAGGGCAAAGTCTAACCTTTGAATTTTCATTCAAAGAGTAAAGACTGAAAGAACACTACTAAAATACCTCAAAGCAAGGATGTTACCAGCTGAGTAGTGGTTTTGCAGTAAGTTATGGTAATTTCAAAAATACTGTGAGGAACTGTTAGTATTTGCTTATCTCTAAAACTTCAATGTTTCTGTAGGATGTTCTTTGAAACACCTGAAAGCATGGAAGAAATCTGCAGCAAGTTTCCTGCTTTTATCAAACTTATTCCCAGCCCTGTATACAGGCTTGATTCACCAGCGAGGTTCTCTTGATGTTATGAGTCACATACAGCAACTCTGTAATAACTCTTACCAGTCACACCCGTTTGTCTTCATCATGATGCCGTGCCACTCTACTCCATTGTACAGGTATTAAAACAGTTCACAGTGTACTATATTAAAATCCATGCAGTTAAGCAGAAATTAAGATACCCTCCCACCCCCCAAGTTTAATAGATTGAGATGGATAAACGTATACAGGAAGAGTTTGATTTTTTGTACAAGTAATACAGGATGAATAGGGGAAATACGCCACAGGCTTATACCACAGAATAGAATTCAGCATCTAAGCTTTACTCAGTTTTTGTAAAATAGCTTTCTTTATATAAGGATATGCAGTTAGTCTTATGACTGGTGAAAGTAAGTCATACTGCTCCATTATTGTAACTTTTGTAGCAAAACTAAAAGCTAATTATTTACAGTCAAACTGTATTAATTTTGCCTTTAATTCTGGTGCTAGAGAGTAAAGAAATGTAATTACAATCTACAGTGTCTAAAGTCACTATTCCAAACAGTTTGCAATAGATCCTGGCAAGTAAGCAAAACGTTAAAGCAGATACAAGCAGTGGAGTTGATATGGGGAAAGTACCTTTTTAAGAAAGTGATATTACTGAGATGGTATTTTTATTAAGATAAATCTGCTTTCTGTGAACTGCTAACAACAGTCACGTCAATGTGGGTCTGAATCCACTTGTTCTACTTTTGCATTCATATGAAGTACAGAAGGGGAGAAAATACGACTCTGGAGGAAAGAAAAATAATTATTCGGTTTTGGTTTTGACTGACGTATCTGTAAGTGATGAGTCATTTAAAATCTTAGATATGGGTCAGTTTATCCTCCCTAGTCATGTTCACTGTCCTCTAAAAATGAGATTCCTTCAGTGTCCCCCAGACCTAACAGGAAATGTGAGCTATGCTGATGAAGCAGATGTGTTTTACTCTAATCCACTTGGCTGGCTTAATAAGGAGTTTTACAATGATACATTATTACCCAGTCACTTGATCTTCTTCAGTGTGCTAGAACAGGTATGGTAACTGCAAGATGAAACAAACTAGTTTTGAGGTCAAGTTTCAAACTTAGGGGAGAGTTACAATTCAGATTTTTCAGAATGGTTGTCCACAACTTTTTAAAACACAGCTTGAATTAAAATTTAACCCTCTAGTCCATAATATAGTATAGATACCATTCCCGTGATAGACAGCATTCAGATATGCCCTCTGCTGAAACTCTACATACCATAAAGCAATGTTTAGTGGAATTCTCCTCAAGCCATATTAAAACAAATGTACGGTCCGTTTCCAGCACCATGCACATTTAAGTAAGCAAAACAAAAATGCCTGGAGTGAGAGTATGAGAGTACCTTATCCCCTCGATTCTTTCACTGAGGTCCATGTACTCAAACAACAGTGTCTGGTGGATATCCACTCTGGACAGGACCAAACAGGAGAGGTACCTCTTTTTTTTTTTTAGCAGTCTTAACTACAATAAAGGGTAAAACTTCCTGGGGTCAGTTGAAATTACAGTTTTCAGAAGATTTTGGAACACCGTTCTGATACTCACAACTACACTTTCTGACTGTGGAAACTTATCTTCATTTACAGGAAATATCACCATTTCTAGCTTTAAGGGGCTATGAGAAAACAGGCAGCATCTTTCACACTCATGTACCTCAAGGGCGAGTTGGAAGCTACATCTACATCTACAGGAAAAAAGTGAAATGAATCCTATCTGAAGATAAGTTTCTAGACTTAAGACCTAATGAGATCACTTTTGCATAGCAGTACTATGCTTAGAAGATCTTGTACTGCAGAAAGGAGAGTAGTGAGTCTGAAACTGGGTAAGTCAAACGGAGGAGGTTGGATTAGGCAGCCACTGGCTGTCTGCAAACACAAACCTCTTCCTCAAAGCAACTTCAGGAGCAGTATGGGGGGGGTGGGTGTTGGCCTACCTTACAACACTAGAAAACATCAGGAGAACCAAAGTTACCATGGGATTACTTAATAATAAGACAAGACTTGGACCATTTTTTATAGAACTGTACAGCTACACTAGTTTTGTTTTATAAATAAAGACTTTTACCCACGATGTCTTTTTATTTTTGTTACACAATATGCAGATATGCAAGACACTTCAAGTGCTTAAATCAGCAAGCAGATTAGAATGCAGCACAGCAAATTCTTCACAATTCAACAGGCTCTTGAACCTCTCCCCCCAAAGACAAGAAGCAAGTATAAGATTTCAAAGCACTAACAAATACATGACTGTAATGGAAACCTATTTTTTGAAGGATGAGATGAAGATAGTAGATCAAACACTGGAGTTAATTATTGGTACATTATGCATCACTCAAACTTGAGCTACACTAACAATGCAATTAAGCATATTTTTCATACACAAGTCATTGCATGCCTAGTCTCTGCAATAATACTGCTGGCACCCAAACTCATTACTTCCAAAGAGCAGTTAAAGCAACAGTTCAGAATATGCAAATTAGAAAACTTACTTTTGACCTTCAAGAAAAATGTGTAAAAATCAAATTATTTAGAGAAAAAAAACTTGCATCTTGCTGCTTTGTTGAGTGACAAGTTTCCAGACAGAATGCGAATCCTCATCTTATTTTTACCATAAATTACTCAGTATTTTGGATCAAAGGGTAACTGCCCCAATTCTATTTCAAGATTTGCCGTGTGTCTTCCATGAGTGCGACCGTGTTTATGCCATTTACCTTCTCTTTTGTTACGGTGGTGGTACTTCTGAGCTTGTCTTTCGTGTCTGGAATCTTCAGTTTGTGTAAAAGGCGGCCTTTTGGGTCGACTGCGAAGAGGAAACAAAAGCTTATGACTACTCTTACAAAAGCATTCCCAAAAGCATTTTGAAACACAATTACACTGTCAAGAATACCTTTTAACATGCTGAGGTTGACTGAAAACAAAATTACTGTTAAGCAGTCCTTTCATAAGAAAGATGGACGGGGTGGGTGTTATTTGTCTCTAAATCATCAATAAATAGCATATTTTAAATAAATCCTTTCCAAAGAAAAATGCTCTGCAGCTGGTTGCCCAATGTCCTCTCTAGAATAAAGCCAGGTAAAAGCTTTTTCATTATCCCTACTGTGGTGCTTGAGTGAGGTCTCAACCTGGTTTTCAGTTATTCTATTACATTCTGCTCTATAAAAATAATGCAAACTTTATATAACCTTAGGAAAGCATGCTGTGTAAACACAGGCACTTCAGAGGTTTTCATGTACAGTAAGTACATTTATACAGTGAGAGGCAACCCTGGCAAAGCACTTGCTTACCTGTTGCAGTTGTAAAACAGTCCCAGTATACTATCTGCTGCTATCACATGATGAGCATCTCTAGTCGCCTGCTACACTAAGGCTGTTTTCATCTTCCGTGTTATACAGACATCTCTAGCATAACTATCAATAAATGAATTTGAAATTATGATTTTCTGCAGTGCTCAAATATTTAAATTTTTTTTAAAGTTCATTTTCATACTAAATTAATAAGTATTTGCACTATAACAAAAAATATAAAACTTATGTTACATGTCTGCCAAAACTACACATTAAAAAGGCTACTTGGTAGCTGATAATAGGAGTATCATTCTCATGGTTCAATGTTTAAAGGGAAAGTACCACCTCCCATAATATTTACTAACCCCAAAGTAACTGTATTCAGGCTTCTTGCTGCAATAAAGCACATGAAACAAGCAATACAAGTCCAAAAAAGAAACCTGACTGAAGAACCACACTTTCCTTGATCTAAACTCTAAATATGCTTTGCACTGAATACCGACACAGGGAATCTATTAGGGCTACATGGACAACTTGTATTGCATTACAAATTAGTTAACATATCACAGTTTTTCTTGCCTGACCAGAACAGATACTGGCACAAGGGACTATATAACTGGTTTTATAATAGCAATGACACATAAAATATATACTCAAGTGACCCGGACAGAAGCAGTTCCACACCACGCATGAAGGCTGCTTGCTTTGTTGTCTTTCACAAAGATCGACACACCAGACACAGTCGGCTACATCTAGCTCCCTTGGGCCAAACAGGCAGCATGCCACAACTGCTCTGTAGAAACCCTTAAGAGTATACCAGTAGATACGGAAAAGTAACATAAGAGACAACTCATGCCAAGGACCTTTGTAAGCAAGCCTGAACAAAATTCAGTCAGGATTAGGATCTGAACAAAAGCCTGTTAGTTGAGTAGCTCTGCTGTGGGCATCCAGACTAACACAGTATTCTACTAAACTGCAAGAAAGTAGTGAAATTCCTGAAAAGCCAGCACGGAATATACCTGCCAGAACAGGACTTAGAGACTGCTCAAATTTACCCCCAAACCTTCTCATTCAGGGATGGATAACAAGGAGTCCTAGTTAACGCTTTTTTTGAGATAGTTATTCATTCCACCAGATAGACAATCATAGCTGATAGGCAATCATAGCAATCACAGTCTAAGGTAATTGTGCTTGCAGTTACACAGCTTTCTAAAGAACTCAGTACAAGTAATGGACTGTGCTATGCAGAGTGCACCTGGAGTGCCTCCCAAACATCAACATACAAAACTTGTATATAAAGGTACCACAGATCCACTTTCTATAACACAACTAGTATTTCCATTGAGTCCTTCAGAAAGTCTTCTAGCATATATATATACACACAAACACATACGCATACATGCTAGAACACCACCTACTGGAATAAGGGCACTAGTTGTCTTTATAAAGACTCCTTCCTTGTGTTTAACAAGTTCAGGAAACATGGAAACAAACCTGGGTCCATACTGGGGTGAATTATCATAATGAAAGTAGTATCTGTAGATGTATTTGTCCAAATCCTCAAAAACTTTTCCATCATTATTTTGGTATTCCTTCATATCTTCCAGGTAATCCTTGACATCATTAACAAAATCAGTGAACAGCATCTGGTCATGTATAAATATCCCATTATGAAAAAACTTATTGATGAAATTTTCTAGCTCTCTCCAGTGATGAAAGTTACGTACAACTTGCTGCAAATACTTTCTCATTAGCCGATTAAATTCGTCCACCCTGATAGGATCTGACACCCTGTTAAAGAGGCTAGTGAATTCTTGATGAGCACATTCAAAAATTCCAGAGCAGCCCTTCAGGGCAAACTGATGTTTTCTATTACAGAAGGGATCATTGAGGCATTTCTGTGAATCTGCATCTTTTTCAAATGTTGTAAACGGACGTTTTCTTCCATCCTGGAACTCTTTTGGCATGTTAGGTCCCCTGTAATGCATGTGCTTCAGATTCTCATAAGAGTTATGTTTTCGGTAAAACGTTCGAGCTTTCTTGTTTGCCTCTTGTCTTTTGTCATTTGGCTTTCTCTCCTTTTCATCAAAAATGTTTTTTGTGGTGTCTTTGAAGTGTCTGAATGTAGACTTTACAGAATCTGAGAATTTTTTCAGGTTTTCTTTCACTGCTTCTTTAGCCTGCTTAATCTTTTCTTTATGGTGCCTAACAAACTCTTTTGTGGAATTTTTCATAGCATCAAAAGTTTCTTTAACTGAACCAAAAAATGATTCCTTTGATTTCTTTTTAGTCCTACTTTGCCCTTTTGCACCTTTCTTTTGTCCCTTTTCATTCATTTCTTGTTTTTCAGTTTGGTGTTTCGCTTCAACATACAGCTTCTCCCATAAGTCAGAGCGTTGCTGCTCAAAGTTTAGCTTTTTTTCTAGTTCTGCTAGTCTCCCTCTCAGACTTTCTATTTCTCGATTTTCTCTTAATGCATCATCATCATTAGCACTGTCTGGTGTTCGACGAGAACTTAACTGTTCCAGTTCTTTTTTTAGCCCTTCTGTAATGTGCCGTTCTTTGTCCAGTTCTCTCCTTAACATCTGTGCCTCTGCAAAAAGGGTTTCCTTTTGCCTAAGAAAGTTGTGGTTTCTTTGCTTTTCCTCTTCCAAATGTTCCCTTAGTTTCTGATTTTCCATTACAATAGACTCAGTGCTAGTACCTTTGTCTTCTAAGTGTCTAATTTGTTGTCGTAGCTTCCTTAATTCTTCCTGAAGTGAGGCCAAAGCTTTTTCTTCCTTCTCTAGAGATTCTCTTAAGTGCTGATTTTCTGCAGCAAGACTTTTTTTTTGAGATTCAAAGGATTTCTTCTCCACATCAGTAGAAGTCAAACATGTGGCAAGATCTCCCTTGAGTGACTAACAAAACCAAGAAGAAAACAAGCAAAAAAATACTACCATTAGAATCATTACAATTTCAACTAGAAAGATGAGACCAAGGTAGCCCACACAGTTTACTTGTCATTTTGCATCCAGTGACACATATTGCAGCAAGCTGCAAAAATAGAGCTAGTTTGTTTATCTCAGATAGACACACTAGCACTTTTTTTTGGAAACAAAGACCATGTGAGAGGCTCCTTCTTCCAGATAGAAGGTCATCACCCTTGCTTGTATTGCTTTAACTAGCTGAAGGATAGTAAACCGAGTATATGAATTGTAACATCCTAAAGGGATATGAAAATGTGCACGTTTGCTGTCAATTTATGTTCAGCAAACTGGGTTTACAAATTGCAAAACCAAATACATTAGCAGAAGCAAGAGCATTCAACAGCTGGGGCTGAAATTCAGCAACGGATTTTGAACCAATTTGTTGCTGAAAATATATGTTCATGTTAACCATATCCTAACAAAAGGATCTTCCCTGTCTCTTGGCATCCCTGAAAAACTCTAGATTTAAACATACTGAACTATGTATAAATGCTGCTATCAGCAACAGTCTTCTCTCTGAATGATTTAACAGTAAAACCCCAAAAGTTAAGTATTTAAAAAGTTAATAACCACTGACAAGTTAGAAAACAAATTCATAAAACCTGTAGGTTCACCTTATAATAGGTTTTTACCAGCACGTTCTACTTCAGCTGTCTTCGTTAAGGACAATCTGGCATTATGTCATAGGGGAAGAGACACTTTCTGGGTACAGATAACTTCTAGACCTACTACCCATGATGTTTAAACACATTCCATTATAAATTTGATCAAAATACAGAACCTTTGTCAAGAATTCAAGAATTATGGGGAAATAAAAACACCATACTCTAAGAACTTACTAAAGAAACAAATGTAATAGATTTATGTGATAATTTCACTTTGTGAAATGATGTGATAACTACACACATAATGACAAGATAACTGAGTTACTTCCAGCTAAACTCATACCTACCCCCACTCTGTGATACATTTTATCTCCTTCCTCTTGTTGGCACTGGTAAAGGTCATCTTTCATATCTTTTAACTCACGTGTCTTTGTCACCAGCTGCTGACGCTTCTGGATCTGTATTGTACCTACAAAAAAACTTCCTTTTGGTAGTCTGACTTAGATTAAGTAGTTAGAGGAATAGATGAATTTAAATATCATCTTCATTTTCTCTGCAAATTCAAAAGCAGTTTTACCTTGCAATTTCTCCCCAGTACTTACTAGTAACTGTTCCTCTGTAACAAAATAAAATTACTAAACCAGACTGTTATATTCTGATTCTGTTTCTTCTAAAGAATTTCTCAAACAGACACCAAATTTTTTTTTTTTTTTTAATGATAAGAAATTACAGAATTTTGGAATACTACAGAGAAGTAAGTTAGATACAAAACAATAAAAGTTATGCAGGAAAGGATATGTGTGACTTTCTTCTAATATTTTTATTAGCGTGCAAGCCATCTAGGATAAAAGGGAGACCAGTAGTCTGTGCTTTATCCATTTCAGAACTACAACCCTTACTGTTAAGTAAAGTCACATGAATAAGAGGATATTAGCACTGTATTTAAACTTTCATGCATAAACACAATTATTACACACTGCTCACAAAGCAGCAAGTATTCATAGGCTCTACCTTGTCATTCTTATTCAGTGAAGGCCGAAGAGCAAGCAAATATCTTCTGTCTTTCAATTGTTAGAGAAAGGCTGAGAGACACTACTGTTCTGAAAAAAATTTTTATACTAGCCACCAATTTTTTCCATCAAGTAAAACTTCTTTAATGATACTTCCCTATCTATATATTTTCTGTAAATCCTAACACTGATGTAATTTTTGTTTCTTGGCTTTTAAAATTCTCATGAATTGACTCTACAGCAGACAGCAACAGCAAGTTTTTAGTTCCTTCCAAACCAATGCAGCATAGGCAGAGTTCTATTTCTGTATTGAAAGGCCAGGGAAAATGTATTATTAAATGGAAGAAATTCTAGAAATACTATTACACTAGGAAATTTTTTGTGATCTCTTAATTCCTATTTAATTTATTGTCACCTATGAACTTAAAAAACAGCTCTCTGTTAAACTAAGTTAAACTTCAATAAGTTCAATCCAGCTAATGAAAAGCAAAATTTTTACAGCAATGACTTTAAGTTTGCAGAGACCTAATAAACACTTATTGGAAGCATGGATCCTTGCATAAGTGAATTTTTTTATACCAACAGTAGCTTTGGTTTTCATATTTATGTCTTATAGATATTTTTGATGAAGTCCATTTACCCAAAGAATCTGAAGACTGCATATGAAAAATCATCGCAGTATAAGGAGTTCATGTTAAGAGGAATCTGAATTACAGAAAAACACCTAAAACGTGTTCCCCTCCTTTTCAAGAATTGTAATTTATATACGGCAAGCAAAAATTACATTTAGCAACAAAAAGGGTAGTAAAGACATTGAAGATGCACATAATGAGATACCATTCCTCAGGAATTGGTTTGTGTTTCCAGATAGTACTGAAAGAATCTGGAGGATACTGTGATTTCAAGTAATCTATCCAAATTCCTAGCATTAACAGCAATATTCTCTGTTTGCAAGACATTCTTCTCGCAAGGGCTTCCTAACTTTAGCTTTTCCAGTTACTTGTTTTCCTGGAAAGCTTGCCATCTTTCAGATCTCCTTCCTGGAGCATCATGAAGCCAGCTAACATGGTTTAATACTGAATAGGATGCAGTTATTAATTAACACCTAATCCTAGCTGCTTTCTACATCTTTAAAAGTCAAAGGGGTCCTGGAGCTCTAGCTAAACAGCAAAAACATTGATAGAAAGGAGAAAAAAAAAAAAAAAACAAAAAAAAACAAAAAAAAAAAAAAAAAAAAAAAAAAAAAAAAAAAAAAAAAAAAAACAAAAAAAAAAAAAAAAAACACCACAAAAACACACAACCACCAAACATGAAGAGCAACACTTTCCAATCCTCTTACAGGACAATTAGCCTAGCATTAGAAGACTGCTGTGAAAAACATTCATTCCATGCTGAATCACAAAAATGCAAAGTAGTCCTCTAGGAAGATGGATTTCTCTTTGCAAGTTTGTTTACAAAAAAAAAAAAACAAAACACAAAAAAAACCACACCACACAGACACCACAGAAGGACAGAAAGCAGAGTTCAATTTCCTTTCTAATGGTAGAAAGAATAGTGTTTTGCTTCTTCAAGTGAAAGTTCTTGGTTATGTGATAACTAAAGCCACACAGCTGGCTTCCTTCTGCTGAGCCTGCTGTCGTCACTGACGACAATTTTTATTTAGAAGTACAGATTCAACGAATGAAGAAGTGAATCTCTTAATAAAGATATGACTCTGAGTACATTTACAAAATGTATTTATCATCTGTAGAGCTCAAAGGTCTTTAAAGGGTTACTATTTATCATTAACCCAAATTTAAACACAGGAAAAGATTAACAGAACCGAAGCCTCACGTTACCACCACAAAGCACTAGCACTATACAGATGGGTGTAGCTGCGTCCCTCCCTGCTTCTAGCACACCAATACACCAATCAGTTTTTTTATAACAGCTACTAATAGCTGCAGCTTCTAAATAAAAAGTATTTTACATGGCTGGATTCCCACAGACACTAGTAATTTTCAAGATTTGCTTATTTTGATACAAGTATGCATACATATAAGGATGTATGTGTACACATGCACACAGGCACAATTTAAAAAGTAAATCTGAAAGCAAGCACCCACAATACATCACTCATGACTCTTACCTTCAGGTTTACCTAAGAACAACAACAACAGAAAAGAAAAAAATGTCAAGTATAAATGTCAAAATAAATGTCAAAATTTAGAGCCCTAACACTTAGTCAAGACCAAAGACAATGAGAATCATACTCCAAGTCTTCTTATGAAGGCACATCTTCATATAAAATTACTCAGGAAAAATTACTAAGAATTAAATGCTATTGTTGTTATCATAACATGTGCACGTTAGAAGATCAGGACTGTATGGCATAGATTTAGGTCTGGAATGAGTTCTGCTGCTTTGCTAAGTGGAGTAACAACCTGCTTCATGCTTGTCTTCAGGCAACATGCTGAACTCGGAAAAACTGCTGCTATCCTGGATTCCCTAAACCACTCTGGAATTGCAATGACAACTACAGCATATTTTTCTCCACTAAAGAGAGAAAAAAATATTGATAATATTAACTCCTTTAAAAACATCCCTTCTTCTTACATTTGCTAGACGAGTACCTATGGGACAAGAGCCTGCACTAACTCTCTGAACACTCTTAGGAATGGTAAGGGCTGCCACAAATTTATTTCAAAATAAAAGACATGAAAAAACGAAGAGTACACTCCACATTATAAGAACAACAAGAAATTTCCATCTGGAAGGGCAACCAACAATTTTTATTTACTTTAAAATCAAAGTAGTGAATATTAACTACAATTGCACCACTGAAGGGCCTCCCTATATTATCCATACATTAGCAGTTGCTTTTTCTCATTTTCAGATTTAGACTCTAAGCAGAGAACAAGAAAACAAAAAAAAAAAAAAGATACAAACCCAGAGTCACAATAAAACGGTATTTGTTATGCAAGATGTTGATTCTATGCATTTTCTTTTCTACAAACTCACCATAGAAGTGTCCAAAGCCCATGCTGATTGCAATCACCAAAGCTAGTATGATGCATCTGTTAAGGCCACTACTGAACTGGCGTTTGTGCTGCTCTTCTCTGGGAGGTTCGGACTCTGGTTCAGGAGGTGAGCCACCATCAGCCTCAGAACTAGAGATCAGTCTCTTCTTAGCCCGACGTTTTCTTACTGTGGGACTGGACTGACTGCTAGTTTCATCACTACTTGATTCATCATTGCTAGCCTGCGATGAAAAAACTGAAAGCGAACATAGAATAGTCTTTAAAATACATTTGTTGCTTTTAAAATAAATTTGAGTACTAAAACCATCATTTATGCAAAATATATTTGGCATTTATTATGTTTTTATTAACACTAAAACCAAAAAAACTCCCAATGTGATAGTTTGTGCTGGATATTATGCAAAGAATGCTTGGTCGCAAAAATTAAGGATTCATTTTTTAAAAGGAAAAGAGAGAGAAGCAAGAAATCATCAGAAAGAAACTGTACCACATTTCTCCATACCTAATCAGTCACTCATTAGAAAGTGTTTCTTTCAGACAATCGTGTCTCTTAAAACATCTACACGTACTACCTCTGAAAACTCCTGCGAAGTAGAAAGGTTAAGAATTCAGTTTTCCTTCTCTTACCAACATTGAGACTGAACTAGTTAATATAAAAGAGCAACATAAAGGCTTGCTAAAATAAAGCCCCTAAAATACAGACATGACTTTATTATATTCTCTCAAAAAACTTAATTCTATCGTCTACCTACAGCAGCAGACAAAATTCCATTAACATAGATACTATAAATATCCAGATCTTTACACTGAAAAATTTAAATACACAATTTTATTTACTTTTATTATTTATCATATGCTACCTGCTAACATCTGTACCCACCTTTCAAAAAGGGCATTTTCAACCACTACTGCACAGAAAGAACCACTCAGGAACTCATGTTTGTCCTGCCCTAGCACTCTGAATCCAAAACGCTTCTATTACCTGACTGATCTTTTGGAAGATTGAATCAGCCAAGACTTGAGATAAGAACAAATTCTAACCATTAAAAAAAGTCTCTCATAGCATTTTTGTGAAATGGTATTTATGATACCGTTTGTATGTTTGTGTTCCTACTGCCCAAAAGCCATATATTCTAATGGGGGAAATAAGAGCTGTAATTGCTTGTTGCCATTACTGGCACATACTTGCTGCTTGCACTCTAAATAAATTTCTATAACCCATTATATAAGTAACAATTATTTAATCTCCCTCCTTTGAAAGAATCATTTTCAAGTGTAAGGCAAGTAACAAAAAGAAACAGCAGCAGGGTGAAAAAGAAGCTTTCAAATATCTAAGCTCATGTACCTAATTCACATGCCCCACACAGAGTCGATGTGATCAATGCAGCCTCCAGCACATGACGAAGTGCTCCTGCTCGGACACTAAATCTGATGCTTGCAATGACACAATGCTAATGTCCCTCCTAGAAATATGTTTGTTTGTTCTCATATCAGCGATCACTGCTCAAATGTAAATATATAAATACTGACTTACTGTCCTTGAACATTCACAAGCAAGAATCACTTATCTGAGCAAAGCCATGCACCACTGAACAGACGGGAATGCCAAGCAGTGACAGCTGTTAGCTATAAAGGGCACTACCAATTAACATTCTTCACTCAAATTCCAACTTAATAGAAATGATTGCATCAATCTCAGAAGAGATTTCCAATTAGCATCTGGAATACATGTCTAATTTCTGACTCCATGTACAAGCAACATGTCAGATAATGAAAGATAACTTCCCCTCTTACTAAAAAGATCCATTTTAGTCAATTAGTCAAACCAGACTGACCAAGCAGACACTGCAATGAAGACAAATTACCTAAACATCTACTTGACATGCAGATTCTTAAATGAATTTATGCTGCTTGCCAGAAAAGGCCACTATTTAGGATCAGTCAGTTAAGCAAATGCACACTTCCCCAGTCCTGGACAATAAAGACAAGCTTTCAGAAATTAATCAGGAGAGATCTATTTTTACTAAAATTCAGAGGTCAGACATTGTAAAGGGATTACACAGGACACAATTAATAAGACAGGTGTTAGTTACTATTGCTTATTTGGGGTCCTTTAGAGTTTTTTTTCAACCACCAGAGAAGCTTACATATCCAGAATACAACAGCAGTTAAGGAACAAGACGCTTATAGCCAAATAGGAAATTCTTTGAAATACACTGGACAGCAAAGAATAGGGGGAAAACAAACAAACAATCAGAAAGCAAAGAGGAAAAGCTGTAAGACACTTAAAGCCATTCACAGGCACTTATTGGCAAGTTGTCAACAGCATGACACTTTCGGGCAAGAATGACACTGCCTTACAGCTGCAGTAAGAATTCTGCAAAAACACTGTGCTCGAACATTCACAGGATAAAAAGGTAAAGGAAATTAAGTGTGACCATAATAGCAGTCCAAAATTATAGCTCCTGCCACAATTTTCAAGCGTCAGACCTACACTAGAAACCAGATGAAGTAACAGTGTCAGTTAAGAATGTGATTTGCTTTGCCATTTCTGCATAGACATGACTCAAGCCTAGATGCAGTCTATTTCAGTACATGAGCAGTTCTGCTAATTAGCTACATTGGTGAAGCAATATTAAAACATTTCTGGTTGCATGGTGAAGACAGCCTAAACAGGAATTGGTTTGCAAATAAAAGTGGCAGAAAAATCCTTGTAGAAAATTATCTACATTAGGAAAATTTGAAGCTCATCCTTTCCAGGACAATAGAAAACTCAAGAAGTGGATGGCAAAAAATTTCCATTGCCAAGGAGTGGCATGAAAATTTTGACTGCAAAATATCTGTACAGATATTTTCTATAATACTTGGTCAATCAAATGCACAGCACTACAGACCACGCTGAGATCAGCTTATGTTAGAAGGAAGAAATTCTTTCTGTCAGTCACACATACATCTGGAATGCAACAAGAACCACTCATGTCAGCACACACATTAAAACATATTACAAACCTTACTGATGCCCATTCCAAAGTTACATGTAAGTTTAACATTTCTCAAACAAAACACTGACTGCTTAGCCAAATTCTTCACTGAGGACTGGCTTTCAGCATCTGTCTGGAATATCACTACTTTCAGATCAAGTCAGATTGCTACTGATAATTTTAAGAACACTCCATGCAAGCCACAAGCAATCAGCTTTACATAAGCTGATCGAATTTGATCACACCACCTTGGAAAGGAAGACTGCGAGAGACATGCTCTTTCACCTCATTTCCCCATCCCCTTACACAACCAGGAATCTTCCTCAGCTTCTCCAGCCAACTGACTTGTGTATATAAAAACAGAGGGGAGAAAAACAAAAACAAAATAAAGTTCTTTTAGGGCTGAGTTCTAAAAATACAAGTCAACTAAATTTTAAATTAAAATGCTGTCAAGTCATCCAGGAGACTTAAAGAAGGTGACAGGTTTGTTACAAATCATCAACTCACTGTTCATAATTAGATGCTAAGCTCTAATTTCCTAATTCCAGTGGATACTATACAGATACATTAATGTTTAACGATGCTTTATTCTACTTTAAAGATAAAACAGTATTTTAAGAAAAACTGTGCTCTTGTAATAAACTTACTTTGAAAGACAAGAATCAGTAACACAGAAGTATTATAGAGAATAAAGAAAACAGAAGATTACAATTAAGCAACTAAATTAAAAAAGACGACTAGGGAACTAGAGAGAAGTAACAAAAGCAAGGAAGTTTTTTTATTTGAGTTTGTTGGGGTTTTGCTTATTTGGCTTTAATTGGCCAAATATTCATATCCTTCCCTCCTGAATATTACACGCTGAATATTTCTGCCCAGAGAAAACCTACAATTACTCTATGAAAAAAAAGTAATTTTAATTTTTAAAAAAAGATGCTAGAAATCTACTTTCTGTTTAAAATAGAGAACACTTAGAGGAAAGAATGCTTTCAAATAAAAAGACTGCAGACATACTTGGATAAAGTGTTGAGTTAGGGCAACTACAGTTGTCCTAGAGACTGCAAATACTGGGGTATGTACTCAAGACCAACTGTCCACCCCTCTCCACACAAAGAAGGTTCCCTAAACAAAGATTATTCTTTTTTATCCCCCCTGGTGAAATTTTTGCACACAGTTGCTTAGTAATTTATTGCTCTTACCAGTTTCTAGATGGGAAAACGCATATTGACTGCTAGAGGAAGAACCCATGTTAAAATCTTCCGAACTTTGAACTTCTTCACCATCAGCTGGAACTTCCTCCTGACTCTGAGCTTCTTCTGGTTTTGGAGCTTCAAGTGTAACAATGTCAGAATCATCACTAACAGTTCCAATGCAGGACCCATCATCAGAGATTTTTCCTTTCTTTTCCTTAGGGAAATGGACAATGTAAAAGTTATTCAGATACATACAACGAAGTAATTTTTTAAAAATAGCAAGAATTTAAAAAAAAAAAAAATAGTATCTTTATTTTAATGCCTTCAAAACATTGCTTGGCATCGTCAGATGGGGCTTACAGAAGCTTCTGAGTAACATAACATAATTTACCTCTGAAACTGTCTGAGTCTCCTCAAAATCAGAGAGAGTATTTTCTGCCACTGCCATCTCCCCATCATTGTTGCACTGAGCTATATAAATAAGAAGAGGAAAAATGCAAACAAACAAGAGATTAAAAAAAATTATGCTCCCTCCCATATAATATTAAAATATATGTAATTGTGACACATTTCCATTTTCCACTTATATCAGGGAAGGTTTTCTAAAAATATAAGAAATCTCAATTTTAATATCCCTTAACAAACATCAGATTCCAATTTATCATTATTTAATACAATGCTTTGGAGGATACTTAAACTGAAATGCTCAGAATGCAATTACCTATAAATGACAAGTACGGTTAGATAAAAACCGACACTATAATATAAGTTGATACCACAGTACATTTATGCACTAGGGTAATTAAAATATTTTCCAGATAGTCATTGGAGTTTGAGAGTCTACTCTTGTTGCCACAGGGAGAAATTATAAGTTTGGAAATATGGCCAAGTTCAGTTTAGTCAACTGCACACTGAACCTGTTATGCCAGCATTCTCATATAAATATTAAAAAAATGAGTATTAAATTTAGTAATTAAAGTAAGTGGAAGGATTTTCATTAGATTGATATGCAACAGATTTACACTTCCAACTCAAGAAATGCTAACTGTGTCACAATGTTATTTCTGAGGTATAAGAGCATTGATGCTTCCTTCCAAACTACTCTTATTTGCTCTGTAACATTATTAAGGAATATTTCTTTTAATAGCACTCCTATAAACCATCTTCCAGCAACACCAGTATATACTATTCTGTAACGTGTCTAAAGCATTGACAGAATGAAAGGCTTTCTACTAATTTCATCTAGTTCAAGAAAAAAATTACTAAAGTTGATGACAGTACTTTCCATTCCAGTAATGAACCAAGTATTTTGACAGAGGCCTACAAGGTATACAAACTCTAATAAAAATACTGATTTTGCACCAGTGCAGATACATGCATACAGCAGATACTTATTTTATGAGACTGCTCCTTTTTTAATATCTTACCTTGCAAATCAACTGGTTGCTCCTCTTCTTGCAGAGAAACATATTCTTCTGAAACAAGCTCATGGTTGTCATTTGTGCTTCCATTTTCTGAAGTCACCGTCTCTATGTCAGACCCCTGGAGTTGAAGAGTTTTGAAAGAACATTACAGTTATTGGGGTTCCTCCCAGTAAAGCAGAAGGAATCGGCTACAAAAAAACAGAACATTAATAAGAGAAACAGAAGAGAACAACCTTTAAAACTGAAGATTTTAATCAAAGCAAAGCAAGGAAAACACCAAGTAATTAACTAGAGGGAAACAACTATTAGTAATACTTATTACATATTGAAAAAAGACAGAAGAGGACAATTATAGGGGGGGAAAAAAAAAAAAAAGAATCCACACAACCTACGAACAATTCAGGCATCAATTAATAACTATGCTAAGTATTTTAAATAACTACTTTCTATTAGCTTTTTGAGACCTATTGTTTAAAGAGAATTCAAAGAAACTGAGAAGTTTGTCAAACAACTTTTGAATATGGGATCTAATTCTTGCACACACGTCCATGTATTGTATGCAAATACACACACCCTCCCCAAAAAAACAGAACTTCCAAGAGTACCATCACGAACTACTAATAAGTACTGCTACCAGGAAAAAATACGTATAATTCAATACCTGTCAGGAACTTTGAATGGGTGTTTTACTAGTACAACTCTGAAAACAGCAAAACAAATCTTTATACTATCTCTAAATTTGATTTCTGTCTTTAACCCAGCAAGGAGCCTTAGACATCAGTCAGCTGCCAGCCAGCAACAACCTTCAGAGCAGAATAAGAACTGAAGATGAATAACAAATTGAAGAGTGCAGGGCACAAAGTCAAGCAATGTGACTATAATTCTAGATACTTAATCTTTATATTGTTATTTTAGTTTGAAAGAACTGATGGAACAGAAATAAGGTTATTATAAAACTATAAACAAGCAAAAGGTACTGAAAAATACTAAGTCACCCTGATCCATAAATAACTTGAGCTGTTTCTGTAAACAGAGATAGTTACTTGTGCAACAGCAGGTGTGAAATTACAGTAGTAGTAACACTTCCAGATCAGTTTCGCTAGATGGCTCATTTCAGCATTCAAGCAAACACATGCTTTTGTTTCTCAGAAGAGACTGTACTTCAAGAAGATTAGACACCTCAGAAAGAGTTGCCCAAGATACACTCTGCAATCACGTTACGAAGTTAAGTTCCTCTTTAAAAGCCTACAAAAATTAACCGCTTTAGTAATTTGACAACTACTTTGTATTTTGACTACAGAATTACCATCATTTTAATCTCAAATGTTTTGCAGAAATTTGCAGCTCAAATATAAATAACCTATTGAAATCTGAGTGAGATCTCAGGAAAGAAAATACAAAATTATTGGGGGTTTTGGGCTTGGTTGGGTTTTGTAGAAAGGTACATAGCTTTATTCTGTGACAATTGCTCTCTGGTATAATAGAATAATGACTTTCACTTCTTAAGTTGTGAAGAAGAAAAAGAACAACAAAAAATTTTGCTTGCCTAGGCTCTACTATATGGCAA